AGAAGAACACAGTGTCACACGTTTACAGTAGAATATTAACTGTTATTCAGAGGCTACACAACAATATATAATAATACTAATTAGACAGCGTGAGACAAAGAGACATCAGAGGAACGTACAGAGCGAGAGGACAGACGTGAAACGAGTGTAGAGTTGGACACAGTGGAAGTGAGGTGGAGTCAGGGAGCAGCAGTTTGACGTGTTCTAACTACGTCACCTGTCGGGCTCCTCCTCTGTTCACACTCTCTTTGTTCAACTAATTATTTTAAAGAGTCAATGCAGCGCGACGAGTTCTTCCACACAGGTGTTCACGCCCTGATGTTTCTCTACGGAGCTGCAGGGTCACAGTGAGAGGGAGTGGCTCCGTCACCTCTGTCACCTCCTCTCTCTCCTGAACGTTCAGATTCCGGTGTAACGTCAGTGATTTGTGTTTTGCAGAGTGACGTGGCTCACTCGCTGGGCCTGTGCCACCGCGTCCACCTGCTGAACCGGGTGGTGTCCTGGGTGGAGGTGATCGAGGCCCGCTCCTGCTCCGCCGTGCACGTGAGCGACTCCGCGCTGGGCGGCGTGCCCACCAGGGTTTTCCAGGCGAAGGGCGGCGAGAGGCCGAAGAGAGGAGTCGTATATTTCCACGGAGGAGGGTGGGCCCTGGGCAGCGGCCGTGAGTTTGACTTCTGCTGAACTTTTTAAATGAAATTGTTAAGAAATAGAGAAACGTGATGTAAAGACGTCATCATCGAGCTGCTGAATGAAAGAAGTGTATCTGACGTCAGTAACCATCGCTCTGTCACAGGGATGCGATCCTATGACCGCCTTTGCCGGAAAATGGCGGCGGATCTGGACGCTGTCGTCATGTCTGTTGAGTAAGTTCGGACATTTCGTCATGTTTCACTGATTCCGTCCAACGCAACAGGACACGGGATCATTTTTGTCTTGTTGCCGTTAGTTACCGTCTCGCCCCGGAGGCGGTGTTCCCGGATCAGTACCACGACGCGTTGGCGGCGTCGCGGGACTTCCTGTCTGCCGGGGTCCTGGGGCGCTACGGCATCGACCCGGAGAGAGTGTGCGTGTCCGGGGACAGCGCCGGGGGAAACCTGGCCGCCGCCGTGGCTCAGGAGGTAAACGACGCAGACGCACGATCCATCGGAAACAAACGCATTTATTAAAAAAATGAACAAAGATCAAAACTTCTTAAAGAATTTTAAAGGGACTTTGTGAAGAATTTGGAAAATTCGGGATAGATTCATTTCTCGCTCGCTGTAAACTCGTAGGTTTGCGTTTGACCTTGACCACAGAACTTTGACCTTCCGTCTCCTCTGACCCCAGAACTCCTCCGGCTGATGCTCCTCCTCTGTTTCCACAGCTCGGCTCAGACGACCGTCTGACCGTGAAGTTCAAGGCGCAGGCGTTGATTTACCCGGTGCTGCAGGCCCTCGACTTCCACACCTCGTCCTACCAGCAGAACCAGGCCGTGCCCATCCTCTACAGACCCATCATGGCTCGTTTCTGGCTGCAGTACCTCGGCGCCGACTCCTCCCTGGCGCCCCTGCTCCTCGCCAACAACCACAGCTCCCTGGACCAGCCGGCCATCAGCGCCGGCACCCGCTCCAAACTGGACTGGACCTCTCTGCTCCCGGCGGAGCGCAGGAAGCACTTCAGGCCGGTCGTCAGGGAGACGGGATCGCCGGGGCTGCTGGGTGAGTTGCCGGCGCTGATGGACGTGAGGGCGGCGCCGCTGCTGGCAGAGCAGAGGGTTCTGGGTAGGGCGCCCAAAGCATACGTGATGACGTGTGAGTTTGACGTGCTGAGGGACGACGGGCTCATGTACGTACAGCGGCTGCAGGACGCCGGGGTCACGGTGACCAGCGATCACTACGAGGACGGCTTCCATGGCTGCATGGTGTTTGCGGACCTGCCGATGTTATCGAACGTTGGACGGAGGAGCATGAACAACTACATCCGCTGGCTGGACCAGAACCTCTAGAACTCAGGACGCGTGGAGTCTGTGAAGCCAAAGATTCCTGCAGCAGGAATTCTGGTTTTTGATCCGCAGAGGAGGCGCGTCTTTATTTACCGGGAACACAGAGCGTGCGGACGTGAAGCGTGCGGACGTGAAGCGTCCAACACGTCGGACCGCGTCCTGTATCACGTGAAATCTAAAAACACGGAACAACTCAAACTGTCAACAACTCAAATTCCAAAGCAAACGTGATCGTTTCCGAACTCGCTGATTTATTTAGTTAAGTTAAATCAAACTCGACGGTGACGAGACTTTACACGGTCGCTTATTCGCTTTAAATCCTACATATACTGCCGCCTGCTGTCCATGTGCTGAACTGCAGTTTGTCCAAAATTAGATAAACCACAGATTAAAGCACTGATTCATAAAACCAAACAAATCTGATGTCACCAAAGAAAATCCTGCTTTTAGAATATGTTGATATATTTAAAGAAGAGAATCCAGGGATTATCAAAAGTCCAACAGGTCTTATAATAATAATAATAATGACAATGATAAAAATAAGACACAAAAAGAATAAAACGTGAACAAATAAAAACTAACTACTGAAATTTAAACTGTGACTCTTAAGCATTACTACTTCCTGTAGCGTAAAGAAACATGAGCAAAGAGAATTTAATGTTTAAAATTATTTCGACTGTCCTGAATTTACTTTATGTTCGATATGATTCTTAAATTAAAATGAATCACAGGAAATGTTTTTTTCGTAGCTGTGACACACACATTTTGTTTTAATGGCGATTGTGTTGAAATGTGTATTTAAAACTTCAACAATGCAAAACTCGGAGCCGACCACTTTATTAACGATGCACTGTGCGATGTTTGATACCAGCGACGATCTGAAGCTTGTTTCGGTTTTCTCGTTCGTTGCTTTTCATGATTGGAGTCTTCGTCAAATTTGTCACGAACAAAAGTTTCTTCCTGTTGAAAGATATAAGATGAACATACGACCTGACGAGCTACAACAAAATTGTATATTTGAAAGCGTCTCTCGCTCTCTGACCATCTCATGACCACTGTAGTGTCGGGCCAACGCCACGATGACCTCGAGGCCCCAGACGCAGAGCGTGGTCGTCACAGGGCCTCACGTCACTCAGAGGTCGACAGTCTATCTGTGACCATCAGGAGGCGGCAAGTTCTGTTCTTAAAGTGAAAAGACGGCGTACAGTTAATTCCCAGCATGCAATCCAAATTACATTACACTTAAAAAAAGACTTTGTTTAACACGTGTGTGCATCTAAGTTAAACATCTCTTCATGGATTCGGGCTGTGGAGAAAGACTCTCAAATGTTTCCCTGCTGTAATTTTAAGGGCATGTGTGAAATTATGCACAAAATGTTTTTCTATTGCATAAATAAGGTTTGAATGTACGTCAGCGTTGTTTCAGTTAAAACAGAAACAGCCCCAGATGTGCTCCTGCTGCACAAAGACGTCCCACAAAGACATAAGACACAAAGAAGAGGGTTTACTGTCGCTGTGACGACTCTGGTTGCACGTCGACAGCGGGATCACAATATTTCTGTTTTTCTTTTCTTTTCTTTTGTTCGTTACCGTGTTTGTGTTTGAACGATGCTTTGTGCTGTGAGGCGGTGACATTCCTGGACGTGTTCTGTTGTGATGATGAACCTGTCGCTGCACCTGCAGAGGACGAAAAGAAGAGACAGTTGATTTAGTCACAATAAGAAAATGTTAATCTACAACTGCTAGAAAATCTAGAGTGTGAATTACTTGTTAATCGTTCGACACCGAACATTGAATATTAGTGAGAAATGAGGGGAAATATATTTTTCAGTTTAGCTGCTGAAAATCAGCTCGATTCATATTTAGTTTTCTGGTGACACTTTATTTCAAACATTTAACT